CGGGGAAAGTTTTAAACGAACACAAAAAAAAAAAAAAAAAAAAAAAAAGAAAATTTTTTTAAAAAAAAAAAAAAAAAAAAAAAAAAAAAAAAAAAAAACAAAACAGATAAGTGAAATTTGATGCAAACAAACAAACTAACGAAAACGGAACGTATTATTTCAAAAAAAAAAAGAAACACATCCAATCATCAATTATTAGATAATTGATTTTGGGTTAATTGATTGGTACCAGATATGTTAATCAATCAATCAATCAGAAAATATTTATCATAACACGTTGTGATTTTTGTCAATTTTTAAAAAATGTCATCATTTACCAAACAATAGATATAAATATAGATAATATATCAAAACACTCGAAAAAAAAGTAGTAACAACAATCAAATCAATCAATCAACTACACATTCTCTTATTTTTGTGTGTTTCAATGCAACAACAGTCAAAATCAATTCCATTTGAAACAATTGCTTGGAAAAAATAGAAAACATTTGTTGATTTTTGACATTGATTTTTTCCCCAAATAACATATAATTAATTACACACAGAAAAAAAACAACAGTTATAAATTATTAGCTGAATAATATTCAAATGAAAAAAAAATGTTTGCATTTTGTTCAATCACTTGTTATTATTGTTTTCATTGATTAACACACACACACAGGTTTTTTTTCTAATTGATTATCATCATCAAGAAACTAGAAAAAATAAAATAAAATAAATCCGTTGTCGTTGTCCATGTGATATGATCACTATATGTTTTTTGGTTTGTGGCTAGGTTTTTTTTCCTCGAAATAAATTATTTTTATTATTATGTTCTCGAATTGAACCTCAACAAAAAAAAGAAAAAATGTTTTCAAATGAAAAAAAAACTAAAGCCATCACACTAATTGTTTTCTAATCTTTTATAGAGTTATGTGATTGTTGGATGAAATCAAACAACCAGAAAAAAGATCATAAAATTTAAAAAATGTGACGGTAATTAAAAAACTATGCAACAAAAGCGACATATAAATACTTTTCTGGGCACAGATATAATTACAAATTACAAAAAAAGAAAAAGAAAAGATGTTTACCTTTATCATTTTTATTATTATTTTGGTTGAATGTATTGTATAATTTTGGCTGAAGAAATTCTCGTTCGCTTGGTTGATAACAATCATCTGCTTCGAAAACACTCATCCGTTCGATTTTATTTTTGATTTTTTTGATTGGTGTTTTTATTCTCGTTTTCAATGTATTGATTGATTGGAACAACAGCTTTTGTGTGTTGAGAAATTCGGATTCGATCTGATCGAATTGAAGAAATTACTAATTGCACTTGATTATGAATGATGATGATGATTATTATTGTTGAAGAAATTTTGATTCAAATATTAAATTATTTTTGTAAAATCTGGTGACAAATAAACGACGACATCAACCTGTGTGTGTGACAATAAAAAACAAAATAAAGATTAAAAGCCAAACATAATAACAACAAACAAATAAATCGTAATCAATCGTTTCAGCAACAAACGACCACCACCAGGAAAAAAAATCATATGAGTGTGTGTTTGTTTGTTTTTGATTGAAAAATTGAAAAAAAAACAAGATTTTCATCGAATCACTTCCTTTGTTTTTTGTTTTGTTTGTTATTGTTGTTAGATATGATCGATTAAGCAATTCGATTCCTATTTTAAGTTATTTTTTTTACTAATAAAAAATTTTATCGTTTTAAAAAAATTGAATCGTATATTTTTGGTGTTTAAAAAGGTGATTTTTTGGAAATCGAATCACGTGTTAGGGGTGGAGGGAAAGGAAAAAAAAATTTACTTTTGAACTTTAAATATCAAAAAAATAAAAATCGGTTACTTTAAAGTTTAAAAACATGTGTGTGTGACCGTGATTTTAACGATGATAATGATGATGAATTTTGTAAAAAAGAAATAATAAAAAAGTATTTTCTACACATACATTTTATCTTAAAACATCCAGTAATTGAAAACTAAACTAAACTAAACTAAACTAAAAATGTGTATTGCACATTTATTATTTCATATGAAATCTATATCAATCTAATCATAAAAAATCGCTTGATTCAATTCGCCATGTATACACTAAAAAAAACGATGATAAAATGATAAGGAACACACACACACGCACACAAATATTTTTGTTTCAATTTGAAAAAACAAACTTACTTTTTGAAATCAATTGAATTCAAATAACGAAAAAAAATGTTGATAATATTTATCTAAGCAAGGCAATCATTGAATGTGTTTGATATTTGATTGTATATATGATCAATACATCCTTTTAATAATCATAAAAAATGGTGGTGTGGTTCGCAATGATGATGGATGGATGGATGTTTTATTTTTTTTGTTGCATTCGAAATCCGAATCCGAACAACGTTTTCTCAACAAGAATGATGATGATGATGATGATATCTTGCCTTTTTGGTGACAGAATGTGTGTATGTTTTTTTTGTTTTTCTTTTGGATAAAACGAACAAAACGACAATAACAATCATTAAAAAACCGATGCTCTTGATACTGCGCAAGCTTGTTGTATCATTTGTTTATGTTATTGTGGATTTTCATCATCACAATGTATACACAATAATATAAAAATATTTCAGTATAAGTATATCTTGGCGCCAATTATATATTGGGCGTCATTTATATACCACTACTATGCATATTTGCTCCAATTTCTGCTGTTGTTTGATGAGATAACCAAAGACATATCAATGATACACAACCAGTATGTGTAACATGCATCGTATGAAATGAATGATTCGAATTCGAATGTTTATCATATGTTCGATTTGCGCCCGCGCAAATTCGAAATTTTGTTGTTTTTGAAAAAAAAATTTGTTTATTAAAAGAATTTCAAAATGTGAATAAAATTGTTCAATTTTTAAAAATGGATATTGTTTTTTTTTTGTTTATGGAAGAAGATTTGTTAAAATATCATATCAAATTATTATTATTATTTGTCTAATGAACTAACACTGCTTGATGAGCTATGTATTAGATCAGAATATTCATCAAATTGTTTTTGTTTTTGCCGAACATTCCAATGTAAACATTCAGCCAATGAATCAAACCAATCACTAATTTGATCTTCTGAACAAATTGATGGTACCGGATAGATTGATGTTGTTACACGAACACTATCACCAACTTTAATTTCTTGTCGATTTCGGCCATCGAATGATACCCAAGCAGAATTACGTGAATCAGGTGATACACAGATTTTCAATTCAACACCGGCAGGTACAACAATCGGACGAAATGATAATGAATGTGGACAAATCGGTGTAATCATTATTGCCGGTACACTTGGATGAATCATTGATGCACCAGCTGCAACAGCATATGCAGTACTACCAGTTGGTGTTGATACAATTAAACCATCACCTTGTACAGTTGTAATACGTTTACCATCAATATATAAATCAACATTTGATAAATATGGTGATGGTCCACGATCAACAACCATTTCATTCAATACTAAATGACAATGATTCTTTGGTATATTATTATTATTATTGTTGTCACCGTTATTGATAAAAATATCATTATCACGAACAATATTACAACAAAGTCTACTTCGTAATGTTAAAGCTGCATTTCCTATTGATTTAACAAAGAAGAAGAAGAAGAAGAAAATTAATAATCAAAAATCATCTTTTTTTTTGAAAACAAGCAACATTGATATTTACCTTTAAGTACATTATTAATTTGTTGTTGAAAATCATCAAATTCGAATGGTGTAAGAAAGCCTAATGAACCCATATGAAAAGCCATTACAGGTGGTACACTTTCCTGTGTGTTTTGTTTAGAAAAAAATTATAAATTTTAGATTTTTTTTTGTGCAGGATTTTTTACCTGAAATAATGATGATGCATATAGTAGGGTACCATCACCACCAAGACAAACAATAAAATCAACTTTATCGGTAAGATTTTCTTTACCATCACGAAATGTACGAACATTATCTTTTATTGATAAAAATAATGGATTATTTTTTAGATGAACATCTTCAAGTACACTGGTTTCGATAAACACTGTCATATTTTTTTCCTATTCAAAAGTTAATTTAAAAAAATAATAACCATTATGATTTTATGAAACAAACACACACACACACACATTGAAACACATACCCAAATAAGCCATTGAACTAGATCTAAAAATGGTTTAATAATTAATGAATCATGTATTTTTTTAATAACCAAAACACTAGCAGGTGTTTTATGCCAAATTAAACGTTGGCTAGCAGGATCTTGAATCGTCCTAAACGTATAGAGTGAATATTATTTGTTTTTTCAAAAATTTCATCGATAACACATTACTTACATGACCATAGCAGGATTTTTCATAATACTTCCACATGGTCCAAATTGACAACACTGATTCGGTGCATTTAATGATCGTGTTCGTCTAAAACAAGAAACAAAACAAACAGAAAAAACCGATTGATTTTTTGATTTTTTAAAGAAAAAACAAGATTTGCAAAACAAAATTCGTTTGTTTGTTGTCTATATTTTAGGATTGGAAAAAGATGTTTGGAAAGAAAGGATGATCACGACAACGATGACGACAACGACGATTACCACCATCATCATCATCAATGGCTTTTTTTCCATTGAATTTAATCAATGAAATGAAAAAAAAACCAAATGATTATTTCAATGATAATGATGATGATTGATTGAACAAAAAAAAATTTTTTGTTCAAAGTGGTCAACTCTCACTCTTCTGGCTATTAATGTTTGAAAAAAAACATCAAAATAACTTTCATTAACAATCAAGGTAATTGAATTTTGAAATTGAAATTTTATTTGAAAAAAACTACCTTATTCTACGGGCAATAATGATCATTTTGATAATTATTATCCAAATCATTATTGAAAGGCAAATGGAAAAAACGAAAACGAAAACGAAAAAAAAGGTTTTCAATTTCGAAAGAATTCAGAATTCAGAATATCAAGTGTGTATGGTGATAATGACAAGTCTGGTATCAGTCATCATCATTATTCCGTCGATAGGAACCAAAAAATCAAGTCTTTTTTCATTTCAAAAATCAATACTACGTTTGTGTTTGTTTGTGACTATATCATATTCTTGAGAAAACAAACAGACAAACAAACACTATTCCATAACAACAACAACAACAGGGGAAAAAAATTACGTAAACAGAAACTTTAAAATCAATTTTTCAACAAAAAAAAAGTATCCAAAAAGTTACCTTTGCTTTTGAAATGATTTGCCAAAACTTAATACTGAAACAAAGATTTCTTTTCTAGTTTGAAACACGTTTGATGATGGTGAATATATATCTGATGACGAATGAATGAATGAATGAATATCTATTTTTACAGCAACAACAACAACAAAAATTGATTATTATTTTTAGCCAAGAAAATTCAAGAATTTTTGTTTTTCGACAACAACAACAATGATGATTTCAAAGATAATAATGGAAACATATCGATGATGATGGTGATGAAAAAGAGAAAAATTGTTTCGTTTGTGTTTGTCAAACGGGAAAAAAAAAGTTTCAATTTCAGAAAAATCAAAGTAAAAAAGAGAAGGATTGCTGCTGCTGTTCCAAATGATTGGCCATGTCAATAGTGGCAGTTGTTGAAGAAAAAATGGAGAAACGGATACAACCAATGAATTTCTCATTTCATTTCATTCATTCATTCATAACAAAAAATATCATTGCCATTATTGAACTGTTTTAGGTCAATGTTAATTTTAAAAGCAAAAAATTTTCTATACCGAACATCAAACATCATTATTATTATTGTTATCTATCCAGGTATCGAGGTGAAAACAAAAACAAAAACAAAAAGTAATGTACGCAAGGTAAATATAATAGACCTTTTCCAGTACAAGCAAAAAATCTAATTAAAAAAAAGGATATTTTTGTCAACATTTTCTTTCCATTCAATCATTCATTCATTATAATGAATTGATTGATTGATTTTGTGTTTTTGAATTTGATTGATTGATTGAATATCATCATTTTGCTGCCGAACACATGTTATATAGATCAAGTCAGTCAGTCAGTCAATCATTATTGAATTGTATGGAAAACAATTAGTTCAACCTGTTGTTTGTTTGATTCGTTTTGTTTTGTATGTGTTTTCACTACTACAAATATGTTGTCTGTATTCATAAACAAAATCAATTATCCAATCCTGTAATATCTGCTGTATTTAACTTGTAATAAAAAACATTATCACCCCTTTTAGAAAAGTAAAAGAAAATATGTGTAAATTAATATAGAGAGATTGTCAAAAACAACAAAAACAAAAAAACATTATGCGTGTGTCCCAGATCTGGAAAACAAAAAAATTGATATTTTTTTTTCTTTTTCTCCAGCCATAATTGAAATGGAAACAAACTACCATACATTATTTACCGAACGACGACGACAACAACTGAAACAACCGAAAAGAAAAATCAATCGGCACATGAGAATTTATGCAAATCATCCTGTGTATAATTTGTTTTTGACATTTACACAGGGTGTAAATGAGAGTGAGATAGATAGTCATATCGTCATCATCATCATCATCTGAAGCAGAAATTAAATAACAAACTTACTCCGATTCACATGAATCTAAACTATTATTTATTGTTGATAATAATATTGGTGATGGTGGTGTTGATGGTGATGATGATGGTAATGGATTATCATTGAATGAATGTCCATTATTAATCTGTTGTTGCTGTCGTTGTTGCTGTTGTTGATGATGATGATGATGATAATGGTAACTATTTGAATCCAATGTCATAATTGGGTGACAAGAAAAAACATAGGAAAAAATGAAAAAAAAAAATCTCACAAAAAATGAATAACAAAACGTTTTTTTTCTACGTTTTAAAAACGTAAAAGAAAAAAAAATGACAATAATTTTCTGGTTGGTTGGGATTAACAACAAACAAACAAACAAACAAACAAATAACGAATTGAAATGATCAACCAACAACAAAACAAAACAAACAAAACAATAAATAGATTTCGGTAGAATTTTTATTTGTTTGTGAAAAAGGAAAAATTATTGAAAATTCGAACGGAAAAACCGAAAAAAATTTTTGATTGAATTAAATGAATTTCTGCTTATTCGATTTTCATTTGATGGCCATTGAAATTTTGTTTTTCTTGTTGCTAGATGTTTATGAAACAAGAAGAAGAAGATGTGAAAAACGAAAAATGTTGTTTTGATTGTGTGTTGTTTGTGTTTGTGTTAACCAAGTAAGAAAATCATAACCAAACGAAACGAAATAAAGAAAACGAACCGAAGGACAATTTTTCTATCAAATCAATAATCATCGTCGTCGTCGGGTTATCATCAGTAATGATGATGATGATGATATTGAATATCATTAACCATCAAACATCATCATTGATTGATTGAAAAAAAATAGCTGATTGAAATGAAAAAATATATGTTCAGCTCTGATGATGTTTTTCAGCCATAAGTGACACTGTGTGCGAAGCCAATGACCATGATTGTCCCCAAACAACGACGATGTTACAAAGGGGAAAAAATTGATGATGATGATGATGAAAACAGGAACACAAGGGAAAAACAAACAAATGAAAAACTTGTTTTGGGCAATTGGAAAATTTGTAGGAAAATTTTTTTGGGAAAATTTTTACAAAAAAAAAACACTTACCGAAATCTTGATCTAGCTAATTTAATGTCCGAGGTTATGATTGATTGTCTGTTATCAGCATCATTTTTATCATTTGCTGCTGCTGCTGATTGCTGTTGTAAAAGTTGATCATTTTCATTGATCGATTTTAATTGATGATTATTGATTGTTGTTTCTTCACTAAAATTACCTTCATCATCATCACTTGAATATTGTTTACGATATTGAATCAATTTAGGCATCATTATTTTTGTTGAACATTTATTTTGTCGTTGTTGACAATATTTTGTTGTTGTTAATGGCGACGAATTATTGTTTGAAACTTTAAATAGCCAGTCCATCTGTTATTTGACAACGAAGAAAATATTTAAAAAAAATCATCGATAATGAATCGATCAAATTGACAAAAAACAAAACGAACATTTTTCCAGAATGATCACATACCTTTCATGTCTTGAAAGCTTTAAGCAAAGCAATAAAAACCACCAAACAGTTCCTTATTGGGTTATGACGTAAAAGCTTTGTTGTTGTATTTTATTGGTAGAACCTTTTTGTTTCATTGAAAGACAAACATCATACATGCATGTTTATCGATATTTTTTTTCACACAAAAAAAGGCATCAATATCAATTGCAACAAGGGGAACAAAAAATTCAAATTGATTTTTTTTCCTTTTAACAAAATTTTTGTTTTTTTTTTCAGTTGAAACAATTCAACAAGTCGATCAACAAGTGGGAAAAAAAGTGTTTTTTTTTTTTTTTTTTGATTGAAAATGATTTTTTTTGCTGAAAACACAAAAAAACAAAAAAAAAAAACACATTCGATTTG